AAAATGCTGAAGACCTACCGCTGGAAGTTACAGTTTACTTCCTTCTACTGTAAATTGATCGTCTTGAAGAATATGCTTTAGTAGTAATTCACAATTGAATAATTCACAACTACACACGAGATTTTAAGCTCCTATAATTTCTTGAAGAATGAAGTAATAAGAGCATTTTGCACCGTTGATATTAACGTTTATAGTTCCAGAAAAAATTCAATTTGCAGATATATCACTTAATGCAAACCACAAATAATTTCTACTTTTACAAAAAAATTGGCTAAGACAAAATACTAAATATGTGTAACATATGTTAAGTTCGGTGACCGATCTAGAGTAAGTCAAAATAAATTACTGCAGCACATTTTGGCATATTTTTACATTTTTAAGCCCCTTTGAAGCATATCCATTGGTGAAATTATATTCTTTAGAAATTGAAAACCAATAGCGTTTTTCTGAAAGTACTTTGAATTAAAAATTAAATAGCTTTAATTTATTTTGACTAACGCTGGATCCGCTACTGGTTAAGTTCGTTAATATTGTCGTTGATATATCAATTGGTGTAGCCAACCTGCAATTTTGTTTGTATACTGTGTAAATTTGTCCTCATTACCCTTATTTATTTCTTTAAAAATTTATTGTTATTAAAGTCAATGAACAATGAAATACTTACATAGCATGAACAAACTTGTGGGCTGGCAGCGTCACTGGTACCATTAACAAAGAGAAAGAGAATGTAGCTTTATTTTATTTTAAAGCTTTTTTTTCTAGATCATCAATGCACGTCACAAGGAAGTCATGCGTCTTCTTCACGTCCAGCTTCACATTGCTGTTTTCCGAAGTATCTTTTTTCAAAAATAATTTGCTACATTCTTCGACTAATTTTTCGACTTCTTCAAACTTTAAATGCAAAAGATCGAATACACAACGATAACGATTTATTTGATTTATAATCTTCCCAAAGAAATTTTCACCTTTTGAGACATTATATACAAAGCTCAAGAAAGTGCTTGTCTTCCACGCTCTATCTAAATTTTAAAAATAAAGGAAATGACAAAAAGTTACCATTAGAATAAATAATGAAACAACTCCTAACCACATAATTTAAACTCAAGATTCGTTATCTCAAGTGACCTTGTTTTCTCCACATATGCAAAAATTCAGTGGCCCATAAAAGAGTTAAATTATTCCAACGGTTCAAAGTGGAAAATACTTTTTAATAATTGAAAATTGAATTAATTCATTCTGTGATATTTAATTGAGATCGCTGTGAATCGTTGTATAAATAATAATTGAAATCGAAAAAATTGTTTTGCAGATGAATCATATCATTTCGATAAAGGATGCCGCCATAAATACAATGGTTTGACGTTATTTGGTTTTTCCAAAATCCATTTTTGTGCGGAAAGAAAGATGAAAAATTCAAAGTATACTTAAATATTGTAGCAAAAAAGAGTGTGAAGTGTTAGCTATGCTGTTTTCGAAAAAGTGCAATTGCTTTTATCGTTGACATTGTTCATGATCAGGGGTGGAGCCGGGAATTCCACGTCGGAAGGGCTAAGGTTCCCGTCGGATGGGGGGGGTGACTTTCAAGGCTGATGTGACAATGCGCTTTCTATGCAAATCTTTTTGTCAGACAAAATTTTTAATAACTATTATCATTCCTTGCTTTGACTAAATCGTTGAAACATATAGTTTGGTTTTGGAAATAATAATTTACATCTACATGAAAAATTAACACTACGTATTCGACTAGTTGTGAAAGCCACAACTTGAAAGCTAAATTTGGGGGATGGTTTTTTTTCATATAGTTGGTTTTGCTCAATTGATTTTTTTGAAAAGAAATTTAATTTTAAAGAAGTCAGTCTGACAAAATTGAATACATGAATATCCTCACCAATCACCGTTTTACTAACAGCCCTGCTAGTCGGGAATCCCTGCATGCAATCCAGGGATTTACATATATAATTGGCTATAACAAACCTATACAGTAAGTAAAAAGAATGCCCTGGGCTTACTAGTAATGTTGGATTGTAATAATCAAATAATAATTATCTCCGTCAAAGCTTTATAAACATATTGAAATTCTTTTTTGACCTATACAAAGCTGTCATCAAAGTAAGAGGAGGATCCATTAGTTATTAGATATACTATTTTTTTTCTTGTTTAACTAAAATCTTATGTTTTGGCACTTTATCTCAATGTTACTCTGTTAAACTTTTTTTCTGGTGAGCACTTCTTTTTAACTGCATGTATATAATGAATCAGTGGTGTACGAGAAAATAATTTATAACACAAGAGGCAATAATAATTATGCACGAGTACGATATAACTTCGGTGAATCCTTCGATTTGATTGTTTGATGTTCAGAGGTCAAAATCCCAAATCCAGAAAAATCGATTCGGGCAAATTCAGAAAATTTCCTTTCAAAATTCGAAAGTCGAGTGGCAAAGTAAAAACCCGACAGACATCTAATAGCGGGCAAGTGTCGTGGCGATTGCTTATGCAAATATATCTCATGTGGCATTTGCATATCTGTTCTCTAATGAACATTCATAAATAAGTATTTCTGAGTAACTTTATTAGTTTTCAAATTTGATGTTGGATAGCTGGCGTGTATGAAGATTATTGCCGATGCTAAGCACTCACATTACTTTACACGAACGGCAATAATCGACACTAGAAATTATATTTTTTTGTTGTTCATTCCCCGAAAAATCGTCAAATTTTTTCAATGTATAATGTCCAATGTATAAGATAACCATTTTTTGAGCAACCAGGCCCAAACAAAACTCAAAATTTTGGTAAGAATGACAGATTTTTGTTGTCCGTATGTTTATCTTAATTTAGTTCAGGACATGATTTTCATTTCGTGAATAACATACCTCTTAAAAAGTTGGCCTTGAGCTCTATGACTTCATTTGTTTCATTTCTAAATTTTTCGAGAAATCTGTCATCAGTTTCTTGAAATAAAGTGTAAGCAATCGATTCCTTCAAATGTTGAAAATCATATTCGTTTGGAAACTTATTGTCAATTAAGTAGACTTTTTCATTTTTACATGCCAAACCTTTCAAATTGTCCTTGAATTGCTTTGCTAATTGTTTTTTCATTTGCTCCTCATGTACGTTCAGATCGTCCCTATTATTTTGAACATCGTAGTAAACGTTTGTACGAACAAAAAAGACAGGTTTGTTGAGCTCTTTAAAAGCTTTTTTAGCCAGCTCTTTATCATGATGAGTGAACCGTGATTTGAAAAGAATAACAAATGCGTCATACTTTGTCAAGTCTATCTTCTTGCAGTATTCTTGAATACTGCACAATTCAGGTGTTCCATAGCCGGGTAGATCACACAGCATAAATGCTTCTATTCCTGCATAGGAATAGAAAATGGGTACTTTTGTTGTGTCTACGACGCCAACAGGTGCTGCCCCTTTGTCGTCGGTTTTAAGCCTTTACAAAAATATTTAGTACAGTATTAGTTACAGGGAGGGCAGGGCAAATCATTTTTATTGGGTGGGGGGCTATCGAGCGAAAGTGGGTCCAAGCAGAGATTTGGTGATAAGTTTAGAAATTAAATATAGAACGCCAGCCCCATTAGCTGCACGGGTTTAAAAAGTTGCAAATTTATCATTTTACTTTGAATTTCAAGTAATAATGTACGCTACTATGAAAAGTTAGCAGTTAAAAAGTTAACTTGGGCTCGTATAAAGCAAATGTTAATTTACCCTCTCACAGCGTTAATAAAAGATGATTTTCCTGTTTCACAGGCTCCTATTACGGCAAGATGTATTTCAGATTTTTCCCACGAGGAAACTAATTCTTGACACAACTCATCAATACTATTTGCATCACCTTTTTCACCCACAAGTTCAGCTAAAAGTGTGTTTAGTTGGACGAATTCCTTATTTTTGAGAAATTCGTTGTTTAAACAACGAACAAAATACTGTTTTCGACATTGTATCAAAGTTGACAAGATATTATCACACAGTCCACGAAAGTCATCCTCGTTGTCCATCGTTTTCTTGTCAACTTTGTGGATGCCAGCGCAATACTTTAAAGAATCATTCAGACTTTTTAAGCGATCATTTTCTTCAACACTTCCGTCATCGCAATCGACGTTGTCGCTAACAAAAGCGAAAGGCTTATCAAAATCTCTTGAAAGATTTTCAACTAGTTCTTTTTCATGGTTTGTAAGCTGTGACTTACAAAAAATAAGCAATGCGTCATATTTGTTCAAACCACTAATTTCACTCCAAAATATTCTGAAATCCTTAAATGTTTCTATGCCAGGTAGATCAAAGAGTTCTATGATATTTTTATGGTCAGGATGTTTATAATTAGCGTCATTTTGTTCGAATCTACAAAAGACGTAAACTGTTATGTGAAAATGTCATATGTATATGTACGTAAAACAACAAAAATGAAAATGCTTTACTTTTACTGCCGATAAAATTAAAATTACTTCCCGTTGAGTGGTCATTTGAAGAATCTCCAGTATTCACTTAGTGTAAAGATTGATGCATGTAAATATGTGCAGGCAAAGTTAGCTAAAAATTGACTATATGAAAATAGTGCTGCCTAGTTAAACCAACCTTAAAAGAATCTTGAAGAAAGATGATCTTAGATAAACGTTTGATCCTGTTATGGCAAACTTTAGCGGCACGTTCGTCCTTAATCCAAAATACCTTTGTATAACGATCTGTGCATTTTCAATCCATCAAGTCCGCTTTCCTTTAATCGTTGTTTTGCTTCACTTAAAATTTCTATTTCTTTTTCTGTCAATGTTGGCTTCGACGATAATGAACCCATTACGAAAGAATCGGATACGACTATAACCAACGACTGAAAAAAATTTACAGAGACAAACTTATCAATGTTGTTTTGGTTTATAAACCAGTAAATAACAACAGTGGGGTTTCGTCTTCAATCATGATATGATAATTAGTTCCTGGAAGTAATTAGAATATTGTAGAAACGAAAAAACACCTTATTTGCAAGTAAGAACACATTTAGCACATTTAAGTTTTAATACTTTGTGAATAAGGTCTTCCAAACTAATTTATGATTCACGTTTGACAGTTATGCGGTCTAGATGAACTTGGTCTGTACAGAGATTAAACAAAAATACTATAGTCTATAGTAGAACTCCATAAAGCTATAACAAATAGGTGAATAATTGAATTAATTGAATTAATTAATTTTGAAGAAATAAAACTTAGCAAGTATACAGTAATCGTTCGATTTCAAGAAAACTAATTTGACAATGAAAATCAATTGGATCACTAGCGCGTTTTTTAAATTGTTATGTAAAATGACTTCTATATAACAAATTTTGAGTTACTATGTACTGTGTTGATTCATACGATTATGGGTCAATTTCTGCTTGAATAAAAATATTTTGCAAACTATAACTGATTCTTAATTGTAGTTTAGTTTATGAATCCTTGTGAGTTGTTGTCATCTCTGACTTCGTAGTGCAAGCCTTCAGAGCTTCTTCTTCAAAACTGCTGGTTTTTTGTAAAAGATAGTTATACGCCAATGGACTTCTGACTCTTTAACTGACTCTTTCTTAAAGTCTTTTCGGACTTTTTCAAAAATCTGCTGATTTTCCGATTCCGAAGTTAACCAAAATTCACGACGATATCGACTGACTTCCTTTTCAGTTATTTCCACCAAAACTTGTGATTCAGCCTTTACGAATAAAACAGTTGCATCTGGAACATGAGCTAAAACATAAAAATACAAGTTATCACTTTTTGATAACTTGAATGTTACACAAAAAGCAACCACTCGTACCTCTTAAAGCTTTGGCCTTAATTCTTATGGTAGCATGTGTTATATTAGCCACAGAACTAACGTAACTCCTCGCCTTTTTTTCGACTGGCAAAGCCTTGGCTATCGATTCTTGCATTCGTTGAAAATCATATTGCCCGGTAACCTTGTTGTCAATCATGAGGATATGTTCCTCATCGTCAATGAAATCTTCCAAGTTTTTCAAACAATCATTTTTCATTCTTTCCAAGACAGATCCTTCATCAAACTGCGGTCCTACATCTTCTTTGGCTTCTTGAGATCGCAATCAACGTTGGTACGAACAAAAAAGAAAGGCTTTTTTAACTCTTTTGAAACATTCTCAGCCAGTTCTTTGTCATGTTGAGTGAATCGTGTTTTGAAAAAAATGAGAAATGCGTCATACTTCTCTAGGTCATCAACTTTTTTAATGTATTCTTCAAGATTGGGGTAGGTAGGTGTTCCAATGCCAGGTAGATCCCAGAAAATGATGTTTTTGTTTTTTAGAAGTAAATACTTAGCGGCCACGAAGGTTGATTCTTTAACACCAACTTTCGCTGCTCCTTTTTCGTTTGCTTTCATTCTGAATAAAGGAAATTTAATACTTTAATTTTGTCAACACACCTTATTCTGATTATTTCTGAGCTTATTCACTCTTACTGAATAAATTGCTTGACAGGGCCAATGACGAGCAGACAAAAATCAAAAGTTAACAGTTAATTTTTCAATTGTTTTCGTAAAGAAGTAGCTAAACATACACAACATTACACACACATATATATATGTATATAAGTTTGAAAATTTGTAATCCAGGCATTGAATATATAAAAGATAAACGTTTCTCCGGATTTTAAACGTCTCCAAGCTAAAAGCACGTGTAAATAAATATCCTCATTCTGATGAAGGCTCGAAGCAACGAGTCGAAAGCTCAATAAAAATCATTTAAAAATCCGGAGAAACGTTTATCTTTTATATATATGTATATATATGTTACCCACACGCATTAACGTACGATTGACGCCATTGATTTAAACATTCACCAGACATGTATGGACGTATAAATGTAAGGTGACTTGATAATTTCCAGTTAGCCATTGATGCTATAAATTTTTACAAAGTAATATTTTCTATTTCTAGTTACTTAATTAAAATTACCCTCTCACAGCGTTGATGAAGGATGACTTCCCTTACCAGAATCTCCTGTTATGGCAAAATTTTCTCTGCGTCTATCAACAAGGGAATTAAATACATGCTATAAAAGTCCTGAATATTTGCAGTGCCGTGTTTCTGAGCTTTTTTCAAAAGATCCTTCTTTTTCTTTGCATTTGCAACGTATAAAGCCTCATTCAAAGAATGCAAAAAGTAATGTTTACTACGTTTCACGAACTTAAAAATGATATTGTTACGCAGACGGTCTAACTTTTGTTCGTATACTCAGTATCAATTACGTGAATGTCTGACTCATCTTCAACCAAATCTTTAACATTTTGAAAACGATCTGTTTTTATTTTACTCGAAAGAGTTTCTTGGTTGTCATACATCTTTCTTTCATCGTCTTCAGCGTCAGTGCAAACGAACAAAAAAGGCTTTGCGAGCTTTTTTGAAATGACATCTGCATTTTTTCTCTTTGTCAGTTACTCTTGATTTTGTAAATATAAGAAATGCATCAAACGTTTCACAGCAAAAATTATTAGAGAAGCAGGTTGATGGTGAACAACAAGATGATGCTAAAAAGTAAGATGATGGTAAGCAACAGGATGATAGTAAACAGCAAGATGATGGTAAGCAACAAGAGGATGATGAGCAACAAAAAAAATAATTAGTTGAACGTAGATCCCAGAGTTTAATCTTTTGACTTTGAGGATGATCAACAGGAATCTTTTCAGGGCCTTTTTGGACATGCAAAAGACTGCAAAAAAAAACATTTAGCATATTATTAGCTGTAGTAAGCTATAAGTTATACACAAAAGGTGTTTTTTGAAAACTGCTTTTCAAAACGCTCCTAAATTTTGGAAGGAATTCATCGAAATTTACAAAATTAATGATTTTGTTGACTATCAAAACTACTGATGTATATGTCAGCAGAAAACGTATGTATAAAAACTTCTGTACGAGAACACCTTTTACTATCCTCGTCAGTGCCAAAATCAAAGGATAAAATTTTTTAACATAATAAACTCTCTTATTTTACAGCATTCAAATTAATTACTTTTTTTAAAGTTAAACATGTGATTGAAATATTTGAATTATGTTGAAACTACATTGTCTCTCATCGAGACTGTTTGAAAACATTAATAGATATCCTTTCTTAACAATTATATTAAAAATTTAAATACTGTATTCAAAGCAAAATGTACAATTCAAGGAAATGTGTCCATATTTTAATGATAATAAACACACGCATAAATAGCGGAAAGCGCGAAATAGTTTTTTGTTATACTATGTTATGGTTTGCAAACCAATAAGTAAACTTTTTTTGTGGAATTTAAAAGTTTAATAATAGATGTAAAATATGAACAAAAACTAATAGTAAACAAAAAGTTGAGCCTAAATATCGGAATTTTATATTTTTGTATTTAACATTAGTACCTGGAAATTTTTCAGGCTATTGACAACGTAAATAACATTGCTAAAATATTTGACATATCACTTAGCATACTAATGTGAGCTTTAAGTAAGTCATGTTTTCATTGCTTCATAAGTATTTTGAAAAAATATACACGTTTACATCAACTCTGGAGCAATAGAATATTTGCGATTCAATTATCAGAAATTTATTAGGAATATAATGGCAGACGGCTTCGTTTTAGGTTTGTTTTTAAATTGTTTTTAAAATCGTTCTAAGGTGCGGCACTTGCTTCAAAGCAGGAACCTAATTTGTTCGATAAGCCATAATAAAAATCAAAGCATTGCGTTACCTTCAATATTAGAAAAATCACTAAAAAATACAATATCAACTATTTGCTACATAAAACTGACAAAGAATATGAACAGCTGTTTTTTTTCTTTTGCAGGTGTGATTCGAGTGAATAGTAATTTAGTCTATAATTTGTAAAGTAACTTTTGACTAGTCATGTAGTGACAACTAAGTCTTGTTTGGCATCTGGAAGTCTTCAAACTAAAAGAGTTTCTCAAGGGTTTTAAAGTTCTGTTTTTGTACAAGAATCTGTATAAGCTGTATAACATAGTTAAACTTTAGTGATAGGCACAAAAATGAGCGGCAACGCTGTACATACAAGTTTCATGCAAAGTACTGAATCCAACTTGCATTTTGGAATTTTAAAGAATGAAAAGATTTTTATCGATTTCGATAGTGCTGGTATAAATGGTTGCCATATCGACTTAAATAAATGTACATATGCAAATTGTATCAAAAAATAACTCTAAACAAAAAAATGTATTTGTTAACTACAGTTGAAAAAACAGTTAGCCTAGCACTATGGATAACTTGGAAGTAAATATCAAATAAACATTATTCAAAATGTCCTCATGATAAGATGTCTTTGTGAACAAAGATGTTAAAGGAAAGCTATGAGATTCGAACACTACCGTGGCAAAACTACAATAATTTATGAACTCGAGACGCACGATTACTGTCATCAGAAATAGAAAAGATAGCCGGAATGTTTTCTCCGTTCTCTGACGATATTCAAGATCATTGTTTTGTGTAGGTAAAATTGTTATAAATATTTTAGTTTTCTGGTCAAAATGCAGATTTTTGTGGCATATAATCAAATAAGTAGAATTGTAAATCCTACTGTAAATTATAGTAGCTAGGGACATATGTATCACACGTAGATTACTGCAGTAACTGCACAAGGCCTAAATAACAACTACAAAAAAGACTTGGTTTCAATAATAGCATTGAGACGACTCATACGGGTATAAGGAGGGGGAGACATGGGAGTGGCAGCCCCTCAAAGTGTTGGACAGACAAAGCTAGTTGGGAATTATTGGCTGAAAAGTTGGATGAATTGGATCATTTAAGATTGAAAATGTTCCGGCCGCCCCCCCTAAAAAATTTAGGTTTGTAAGATCATGCGGTGAGTTATAATCCCAGTTTTATTTAAGTTCGCCAACATAAAGGTTAGCCACTAACCTGAAAGCTCGGTTCGACAGCTACAAACGCTTCTTATAAAAAAGACAAATTGGCAAAAACAAAACAAAAATCTAAACAAAGCCGCTGATATACTCCCGTAGTTACATCGTAAATAAATTTTATTTCAAGGAATTGACGAAAATATTTGACGTATTACCTTTTCTCTAAAATACTAACTAAGGTAACAACAAAAGCCAAACCTTCATAATACAATTTTTACTTAACTTTTTTATGGTAAAATTCTTTTACTTTACTGTCAGAGAACAACGTTTCCGAAAATTGTTGATTTTAGAAGAGCATGGCAGTTTGAAATTTACAAAAGCAGTTGAGCTATGAACACCAATCAAAACAATAGATATTTAGACTAAAGATATTTCTAGTAAAAGACGTGATGTGGAATGCAAATACCTTGTCTTTTCAGAAGCGTTAATATCTGCAGAGCTTTTGTAGCCAACGCTATTTCTACAAAGATTAAATTTTTTCAAATCAAATAAAAAAATTTAGTCCGAGCAAAGAAGTGTGGTGCTCTCCCAAACAAAAGGAGGCTCGTACGCCCATGAACTTATATATGCAAGACATACCTTTACAGAATTTGGCTTTAAATTCAATGATTTCTTTTGTTTTGCTCTTGAAGGAAGCTATGAAGTCTTCTTTTGTTAAAATATCAGCGATAGATTCTTTCAAACGTTGAAAATCATATTCACTCGTGAACTTGTTGTCAATCATGTAGATATTGTTTTCATCATGAATTAAATCTTTCAAATTTTCCAAACTATCTTTTCTCATTCTCTTTAAGACAGATTCTTTTTTAAACTCCTTTCCTTCGTCGTCTTCGGCATTTTTGAGTTCGTGATCAATGTTGGTGCGGATGAAAAGGAAAGGTTTACCGAGCTCTTTTGAGACTTTTTTTGCCAACTCTCTGTCTTGGTGAAAGAACCGTGTTTTGCCAAAAATAAGAATTGCGTCGTAACTTTTCAAGTCCATCTTTTCGCAGTATTCTTGGAGATCCGACGTTTCGGGCGATCTAAGGCCAGGTAAATCACAGAAAATAATTTCTTTGATTTTTGGGTGAGGATACGAAGTTGGTACTTTTGTTTTCTCTACTACGTCGACTTGGGCTGCCCCGTTTTGATGAGCTTTTAGTCTAAATAGAAAACATATTGTGTTCCAACCATGTGAAGTACATATAAGAATAATTGCTTCCTGTATAATGTAGCATTAAAGTCCTAATTATTATCATTCTTTAGGCTTGCTATGCTAGTTGTCATTTTTGAAAATTTCGAAGTAATTAATTTAAATTTGCTTAAACGCAAATGAAAATAGATATTACCCTCTCACTGCGTTAATAAAAGACGATTTTCCAGTTCCACTACCTCCTGTTATGGCAAGATGTATCTCCGTATTTTTCAACGAGTCAATTTGCTTTTGGTAGAGTTCATTAAGGCCACTCACACCATGTTTTGTAATGCTGTACTTTGCTTCAGCTAAAAGTCTATCTTTTTCAGTAAAGTGTTTGTTTTTGTAAATTTCTTCGCTAAAACATCGTACAAAATACTGATTTCGACGTTTTATCAATTTGCCAATGATATCTTCACACAGAGTACTAAAATTTTGAACATTTTCTATTATTTTCTTGTCAATGACATAGAGGTCTGAGCCATCTTTTACAAAATCTTTTGGACAATTTAAAGAATTGTTTTCTTCCACCATCTTGGAACTACCATCGACGATTTTGTACACAAAAATGAAAGGTATTTCAAACTCTTTTGAAAGCTTTTCAGCGAGCTCCTTTTCTTGACATGTTAGCTTTGACTTACAAAACATAAGAAATGCGTCATAGCTGTTAAGACCACCAATACTTTGGCAAAATGATTTGAAATTCTTAAATGTCTCGATACCAGGGAGATCACAGAGTTCTATCTTATTATCATGTTCGAGATGTGTATAATTTGTGTCATCTGCACCAAAACTACAAAAGAAGTAAATGGTTTAGATAAAAAATTGTCCACATGAGATGAGAAGAAGAAAGGTTTCATTTTCAATAACCCACAAAGAACTACAAGTACAACCCTAGAGCGGATAAAGATACGCTATGTAGAAACAACGCCACGATACGCCAGCGCCACATGTCAAGCAGCCAATAACGTCCTTTATAAATCCATGACATAAATCAATTTGTTTGAAAGGCTTTAGAGGAAATTTATGGGTTGACGCACGTTTTGTCAAATTGTGCATGGTTAAAATTTTGCCTACATTTTTTGTTAGACTTCAAAAGATTACACGTTACAACGACGAAGTTTTTTAAATCCGCGCCGATGATGTTTGGCAGACGTACACTGTTTTCACTTTGACTAATTATGATTCATTTAAAGTAGTCTGCATTGTCTTCATACGTGTGTAAGCATAAAAATACATTTCGAACTTTCATCTTTAAGATGATAACTGACACTTTAAAAATGCTAATTTGAAACAAATTACAGCACAACAAACCTATATTAATATAATTCAATAACATTCTGACTGTTTAAAGATTGATCTACAAACCTTAATAGACATAAACCTTAAACCTTAATCTACAAACCTTAATAGAGCTTTAAAGAAAGATGATCTGAGGTAGGTATTTGATCCTGTTATGGCAAACTTAAACGAGACTTCCGTCCATGATTTCATCATATCTTTGTATACATCACGCATACCATCGAGTCCTTTTTCCTTCACATGTTGTTTAGCTTCTAATAAAATGGTTTTCTCTTCTTCTGTTAATGACATCGACGAACCCATAATGAGAAAATCAAAGAAATTAGCAAAGCTACCAACAAATTTCAAAGTCCTCAAATGTTGTTGTCGTTCTTAAGACGGTGGAATGCAACAGTAGGGTTTCGCCATCCGTTTTGTTATGATAAATAGTTCCTTGAATATATATAAATGTAGCACTATGGAATAACAAAAACTCTTAATAAATAAGTTTTGAATAAATATCAAAGATAATTCCATGTAACAAACTCTGCAACAATAAAGTCATCTCTATCTGAAAATGCTGATAATGGAAATACGGGTAGATTTTGGGATGCAAAATTTAACGATACAAATACATTCTGCGTTGTATAAATCAGGTGTGTTTTTTATCATTGAAAATTTCTAAATTAAAAAGCATAACTTTAAAGGTGAAAGAGAGAAATAGAATATTGTCAATTGGATTACATATTATACCGTTGATTTTACATAAATACATATATACCTATGCGAAAAAAAATCGCTTCTCATTAATTTCATTAATTTTGACACTAGCCGGGGGCTCCTGTAGTGACGTACATAACGTGCGTATGTTATTCATCTAGATTTATGTATTAGCAATAGAGGAAATAGCCAATCCTACACTTACTCAAACGCGCTACTTTAACTTACGCACTTTACTTTATAATTACGTAAAACTACTCAAATTTCAAGTACATTATCCGCTGTGTAATAACTGCACCTTGTTTAGCCAAATATATAAAAAGCCTGAAATAAATTCTAACATAAAGAATACTCACGACTGTTGTAAATAACTTCTTCGCTAGTGAATAAAATAATCACAAAATTTAATAGCGTTCTAGTACATTGAACTCACGTTCAGAGCTCATACGAAAGACTTATATAACGCTAAACGAGTAAATAAGTTCTATTTTCAAAATTTATTTGATTCTTTTATTAGATTCTTCTTCAGGAGCAATCAATATACGATACAATTGAAGAATTATTTTTAACTTGACATCAGCTGACATCAGCTAACTTTGGGTTAGCGACCTGTGGAATTAGATTAACCGAGATGCTCAGACAGGGAGTATACCAAGGGGTAACAAACAGCAAAGTCAGCTACGTTTCATTAACATGTAGTTATTGAAACAACTGAATGGCTTAACTACACATGGAAATACAGTAAATCAGTGACGTAGTTAACCCAAAAACTTGAACCTGTCAGGAAGAAATTTTTTGTGTGACACCCACTATAAAACAATAGATATCCAAAAAAAAAAACAAAAGTTGCGGGCTGGTTAATGTAACTATGTACAAAAAAGTTGAACGTTGCAAAATTATTATAGGATAGTTTACTAAATAATATGCGTTTTTAACATACACAAATATATTGAATTGAAAATACTCAATGTTTGTGATGTATTCACTTTAAATTTGGTAACGTTGCCCATGTTTTCCAATAAGACTTTCATACACAATATTGGTACATGCAGGCATTTTAATGTTGAGGTGCTATTGAAAAAAGACCAATAAAAACGTAACGACGTTAGTTCGTACACGAAGTACAAAGACGTAAAAGCTGCAAGATCTGTTAATGCCAAACTCTGCTTAAATTTTTTTCACAGTCAACAGAATTTGATATACACCTCACGGGGAATTAAAAGCTATGATGTTCTCCACTTAAAACGTCGGCAATTTCTGATAAACAATCTTTGTCAAAATTATATTGTCGTTGCATTCCCAAATAATATAAGAGTCAAATAAAAATCAACTCCAAGATTTACAGCATTACACAATCATTACGATAATTTATTTCAAAGTTGCAAATGAGATTTGTCATTTGAAACTACAAGATATTTAACTGTAACAACAAATGAAAGTAGATTCCTGTTGCCGTTACTAAGAAAATTAAGTAACATTTGGAAAAAAAACAAAATGTGAAAGCTTTAACATGTGCTAGCTAATTTCATGTACGCATAGTACATTTAACGAGTGCTCTAAATATCATCAAATTTAATCATCTGTTATTTCTATGCCTTCTAAAGAGTTGTTATTTTTAGAAAAATCCACAGATCTCAATACCATCACGTATATGTAAGTTGTAATTGTTTTGAAAATAACAAATAGTCTTAAGCAAATAGAACCGTGTGCTCTGGTCAATTATGGCTTTTAACAGTTGCACCCCAATTTTCAAGAGCAACTTTTTCCAGATCGTTGATGCACTTTAAGGGAAAACGACAAACCATAAAAAACAATGAGGCTGAAGACAACATCGGCCCGACAATTGGAATCAATTTTGCGGTCTCTTGAAAACCAAGATCCACAGCAAACTTTGTAATAAAATTCCCCAACTAATTGATCAAAATATATTTCTGCTATATAAAATTACTGCTGATGATTCTTTGTTTAATGCCTCGAATTTTTCAGATCCTTTTTCGAGAATGCCAAATTGGCGACAGTAATTATGAACTTCTTCTAAAACCACAGCTAAGTTGAAAGCTGATCCAACTGCAGGAACAGGAGCAGCATTTACAACAGCTGCGGCAGCAGCTACCATTGCTGCTCGAGCTAGAAAATTTATTAGAAATGCTTATACAAAAATTAGAGTTCACGAATGATCAGGCAGAGGGAATTAAAAAACTTCTGTGAAGAATCTTCTGGCTAAAGTAAAAATCAGACAACCATGCAGTGTTGTTAACACTATATAAATTATATTCATGAATGATTGGCTAAAGTCACTCCGGTTAATTTATGTTAAATGACAAACCTTTCAAAAACTTGGCCTTACTTTTTGTGCATTTACGTGTCACGTTACTCAAAGAAAGAATGAAACATTCTGTTTTAAGTTCTGGTAAAACCAAAGATATTGATTTTACCAAACGATCAAAATCGTATTTCTCTGGAACCTTGTTGTCAATCATGTAGATATTCTTTACATCATTAATAAAATCTTTTAAATTGTCTAGACAATCTTTCCTCATTTTTTTCAAAACAGATTCTTCATTAAACTGCGGTCCTTCATCTTCTTTGGCGTTCTCGAGATCTTTGTCAACGTTGGTACGAACAAAAAAGAAAGGCTTTTTTAACTCTTTTGAAAGTTTCTCAGCCAGTTCTTTGTCATGTTGAGTGAATCGTGTCTTGGAAAAGATAATAAATGCGTCGTACTTCTGCAGACCACAAACGTTTTTACAGTATTCTTGAAGATTGGGAGATGTAGGTGTTCCAATGCCTGGTAGATCCCAAAAAATGATGTTTCCATTACTTGAATGAACATATTTAGTGGGAACTGAAGTTGATTCTGTAACACCAACTGGTGCTGCTTGTTTTTCGTGAGCTTTAAGTCTACAAACAAAAGTATTTTACTTAAATGTTGCATGCTATTTCACATTTGTCCATGCATTTTTAAATTGGTTACCTAATTGCACATACCTTGTTATACTATAAAATATAAATTTGAGAAAATATATTTGTATTATGCATTAATGGAAATGTGACCATTCGTTGTTACACTGGTTGTGATGTATTTGAAATCCATAGAAAATTAATAATTTACCCTCTCACAGTGTTAATAAAAGATGATTTTCCTGTTCGACTAACTCCCGTTACAGCAAGAATTATCTTTTCTTCCTTCAAAGAACTAATTTGACGATGGTAAAAATCATTAATACCAGAAAGACCTTGACGATCAACGCGATCTCTAACTTGAGCAAAGCACTTATCTTCTTGAGTCATTGAGCTATTTTTGTATATTACATCGAGCAAAGATTTTAGAAAATGTTCACTTCGACGTTCTAGCAACTCTGTGAGAACAGCCGTACGTAAATCTTCGAAATCGTATTTTTTAGGAAACCTGCTGTCAATCATGTAGACATCTTTCTTATTATGAATTAAGCCTTTCAAATTTTTCAAACAATCTCTCTTCATTTTTCTTAAGACAGATGCTTCGTCAGACTTTGCTCCTTCGTCAAGCATGGCATTCTCGATTTCGTAACGAACGTTAGTACGAACGAAAAGAAAGGCTGTTTGAGGTCTTTTGAAACTTTTTCAGCCAGTTCTTTGTCAAGTTGAATGAGCCGGGATTTGGAAAAAATAAGAAAAGCGTCGTATTTCCTCAATCTTGCAATATTCATCAATATTAGGATATGTAGGTTTCCCAAAGCCAGGTAGATCCCAGAGTTTGATGTTTTCATTTTCAGGATGAGAATATTCAGTGGGCACTGTTTTGGTTTCGGTAACATTAACTGGTGCTGCACCCTTTTGGCGAGGTTTGAGTCTACAAAATTAATACGTTATGTCTAACTATTAATGAAAATGATAAATTTTGCTTAAAAATTAATTAAAACTTGAAATGCATTACACAAAGTGGTACAAACAAAAAATACAAGTACAAGAAGAACTTAAATTTAGATGGAAAGAAGGCACTGCATTTTCCTAAATTTGTGAGATTCGAAAGAAAAATTGCATTAAGAGAAGATAGGATTTCCAAAGTTTTATTATCCATTTCATTGTAATTCAAAAATAAAGATGTTTACCCTCTTACGGCGTTAATGAAAGATGATTTTCCTGCTCCAGAAAATCCTGTTACAGCAATATTTATTTTCATGTTTCTCCATGAAGCAATTTGACGTTTGTTAAAAATCGTCAACATCAATTAAACCATACTTGTTAACACGGAACTTAGGTTCTTCTAAACGTTTTTCTTGTTCAGATAATTCTCTATTTCCGTAAATGACACCGTTAAGAGAATGTAAAAAATACTCTTTTCGAAGTTTGAGCAACTTCAAGATGACATTTTCACGCAGACGATCAAAGTCGTATTTTTCTGTATCATTGTTATCAATTACGTAAACATCACTTGCATTCTTTACTAAACCTTTCAGCTTGTCATAGCAATATATTTTTATTTTATCTAATGCAGTGGCTTCGGTAGACTGTGATGCAAAGGCTTCACCCTCTTTTGCAGTCGTAACATTGACATTCGCATGCGTATGAACGCAAACGAAAGGCCTTTGGAGCTCTTTGGAAACTTTTTCAACCAGTTCTATCTCTTGGACTGTGAACCTGGATTTGCTAAATATTAGAAATGCATCGTACTTCTTCAGACCACCAATATTGCTACAGTACGTTTCAAGATCGAAATTTTCACCAGCTCCAATGCCAGGAAGATCACAAAGTTTTATATTTTTGTATTGAGGATGAGGATATATTGCTTCCAAATCTGATTCGTCGTTTGGTGCGGCCTCTTTTTTGTCCTCTTCAATTCTGTATAAAATATTGATTTTTATGATATTTAACTGACGAACATAAATAAAGTGTCAACGATTTGCAAAATAAATTCTCCCAGCCTTGGTATCTAAAGACATCGATAGTGAAGCGAAAAGAATAAGAAATAAATTACCCTCTTATGGCGTTGATGAATGACGACTTTCCTGGATTGTTTGATCCAATTATGGCAAAATATTGCTCAAACGTCTCCCATTTAGCAACTTGTTGATTGTAGTGTTTAGTCCTACTATCAAGTCTATTTTTCTTAGCATGTCGTCTTGCTTCTTCTAAAAGTCCTTTTTCTTTTTCTGTTAAAATTGGTTTTGACGAAGATGAGCCCATACTTAGACGAACAAAATGGACGATTCACACGTAAAATTACTAGGAAATTTGGATCAAGTGAAACGTTGCTGTAGCAAAGCTAACAGCAAACTGCAGGGTTCCCATATTCTTTACATTATATGATAAATAGTCCAGGAATATGATTAAATAAAGAAAAACGAAAGCGCTACAGTCAAAACTCCGAAAAGGGCATCGGCTAAAGAACCAATTATAATTGTTCTATGTCGGCAATAATTCCTAAAAATTGCCAAATGGTATAGGGTCATATCATTCTAACAATGAAAAATAAGTTAAAATTGGATATGCTCTGTTGAATTTAACTTGAAAGATGCCAATATTAATAAAGTAGGTTGTCCAAAGGTCAGTCATACGATTTGAAATCATGCACCTCACCTCATGATGAGCGTGAAAGACACGTGCCCTCGTTTTAAGACAAATTTTAGCCTTGATTTAAATTGAAATTTTTCCCTTCTGTAACATAGGAAAAATGCCAGGAAGCAAAGTAAAAATTTTTATTAGCAAGTTGCTCATGGGCAACAAATAAGTTCAAACTACAGCGCTTAAAAATAACTTCATGAAATTTCTTGATTGTACCACAAGAAGAGTGTTTACCTTCGGTGAAACACACCTGAAAAGTTTAAAAAAGCTTTTTTACCTAACAGCAGTGTATAATATTGCGTTTTCCTTGGTCTAAAAATTATTATCTGTTCCTGTAATGATTAAAAACACACCAGTACTTTGCAGCAGTCTTTTGTAAGCTTTGTGAACTTACAAATTAGCTTTCTTCAGCATTTTTTGAAAGATCATTTCAAAGATGATTTTTATTAAGAGTTGTTAGCTAATAGGTGGTTTGATTAAAATAGTTCTTGAAAAAGACTCTTTCAGGTCCATTAATTAAAAAAGAACTCAGACAGGTTTAATACAGGAGATTAAATTGCCAATGGGTTAGCAGAAACTTCGAATCTTACTCATAAATAGCCGTAAAATAAATAAAAACTAGAAAAAAGTAAAACAAAAAGACAAGTTCATTATCTGAGTTTGAGCCATTTTTCATATTCATTACTTTGTCATGGATCGTCCTTGCTACAAATATATTGTAAAGAGTTGAGGTGCAAAAATTTTGGTCTATATTTCTATGTTTTGAGAGAAACGTTACGTTTAAACAATCTATTGATAGCTTTCATGCGTCATAATTGTCGTCAAGCGAATGGTAAAAACAGACCCTACGACTATCTTTGAAGAAAACATCAATAACATATTTATTGAGTATCTAAATTACAAGGAATATCTGTTCCACTGGGTAGAATTGATTTTATGGGCACGAACATTGGAAGGAAATTTATCAACTCTAATAAAACTTATGATTTAACTGTATGTACCAAATACCTAATTTTTGAAAATGCTCTTTTTTTTATCTAAAATAGGCAGTGAAAAATGATTGGACCTGCTCAGTAACGACGAACAGTAGGGGGATTCAGGAACGCCCTTAACTGTGGACATTCGAAATTGTCATTTTTAGCAATCAAAGGAGCAAAACGTTACGAATTCACAAAGTTCTCTGCTTATACAGTGGCATTTTATACTTGATTCAGAGGTTAAGAAGTACAAATTCGTTAATTTCCATTTTAAAATCCAGATTTGACTCACAACAATTGCTTTTTGAATGTTTCATGCTAAGCGATGACAAGATCCCTCTTATAACTCACAATAGCTGCTTCTAGGAGAGGAAGTTTTTATTTAAATTAAAATAACAAATGGTATGTAAAGACAACGTGCTCCTATTGCCATTTAATAAGAAGACTTAATGTGAAGTAGACAAAAATAGTTATATGTAAATGTTTATCATTTGGTTTATCTACCACATGTACGAAAGCGTACCTACTTTGTGCAATTTTTCTGAATAACAAAATAATGAATTACTAAAATTGATTCTTTTAGATAAATCCACAGATTTTTTTGGAACAATTAGTTATAAGAAGGGAGTTGCTTTAAGAAAATATAAATAAGCATTCTTAGTCAACCAGGTCTTGTTCTTGTAAATCGTTGCTACTTCCATAATTTGTATTCAAAATGTCAACAGCAACTATTTCCATATCGTTCATGCAGTTTAACAAAAAATCATAAATTTTAATGAACCAGGATGCAGCTAGGTACAGCAACCCAAACACTGGGATGTATTTTTTGAGACCAGCGTCCACTGGATCAATACCAATTTTTTTCTTCACATCCTCAACTGTTTCAATGTTGTATTTCAATAAAACATCAGACCACTCTTTCTTTAACGCCTTAAATTTCTCAGATCCCTCCTCAGGAAAACCAAAGACGGAGCAGTACATTTTTATTTCCTTAACAATCACATCAAAATTGAAATCTTTTCCAAAGAGTGAAGCAACGGCGTTTTTAAAAGCTGAGGCAAGAGCTAGTCGTACAGCTTGACCTAGAAAGGTGAAAAGAAATATTCATGGAAAATCAAACCGAGTAATCGCGTAGGTAGATTTAAAAAATTTGTATGAAGAATCTTCCAACCGAGAGCGTCGGAAATGGAGGAGTGAATGGGCAAAGCCTCGTCACTTTTGTTGAAAAATGGGTAGTTACGACTTACTTTGCATCAGAAAAAATAGCATGATAAGAATGTGACATAAATAAAGTAAATCATAAACGCCAAGAAAGAAAAATAAAACAGGTTTTCTTAGAATCGTATTCTATCTTAGCAAGTAATGTCAATGAAATAAAGTAAAAAATTTTGACGCGATTTTTCAATTTTCAATTGTATTTAATGCATAAAATATGAAGAAAACATATTACAGCGAAATTGGAACTCATAATTTCTGGGATGCATCCCCATCATTCCCACTTTTATTGTTCAACCAACGTCCGTTTTTCCGAAAAAAGTAAAGTCTAAACAACCAGTAACAAAGCAATCTTGATAAACGAGTGAAAATATGGGCTACGCTACTGCAAATATTTTCAGATAAATGACAAACCTTTCAGGGAGTTTGCCTTTTCTTCTATGATTTCACGTGTCTTATTAATTGAAAAAAGTTTGAAGCATTCTTTTTTACGTTCTGGTAAATTTGAAGGGAATGATTCCGTCAAACGCTGAAAGTCGTATTTGCACGGAGCATTGTTGTCAATCAAGTAGATGTCATTCTTATCATCGGTCAAACCTTTCAGGTTTTCCAAACAATCTTTCTTCATTCTTTCCAACACAGAATCTTCATCAACATTTTCACCTTTGTCCTCTTTGGTATTCTTGACATCGCAATTGACGTTGGTGCGAATAAAAAAGAAAGGTTTGTTGAACTCTGAGGAAACTTTCTCAGCCAGCTCTTTGTCATGTTTAGTGAATCGTGTATTGCATAAAATAAAAAAAGCATCGTACTTCTCTAGATCACCAACCTTCTTACAATATTTTTGAAGATTAGGATATGAAGGTGTTCCAATGCCAGGTAGATCCCAGAAAATGATGTTTTCATTCTTTGGGTGAACATATTTATTGTAAACGGAGGTTGATTCTGTAACACCAGCTGGTGCAGATTCTTTTTCGTTAGGTGTAATTCTACGAACGATGATTTTATATTTAACTTAGTTGACATTTAAAATATAAAAATTACGAAATAATTTTTATATTACGTAAAATGAAACATGATAGGTCAGATTATGACTGACTATGTATAATAGTGTCTTCATCAATTTAAAAAGAAAGTTAATTACCCTATCACTTCGTAAATGAAAGATGATTTTCTAGCTTCAACATCTCCTGTAATGGCGAGATTTATCTCTTCATCCTTCAATGAACGAATTTCACTTTTGTAAAAATCTTCAATATCAACAGTGCCGTGATGATTAATGTAGTTCCAGGTTTGGGTGAAGCACCAACCATCTTTAGTCATTGAACTATTTTTGTATATTACGTAGCACAAAGATTTAAAAAAGCGTTCACTTCGACGTTCTAGCAACTCTGAGAGAACATTCCCAAGCAAAAGTTTGAAGTCGTATTTGTCTGGAACCTTGTTGTCAATCATGTAGATATTTTTCTCAGCATGGATTAAACCTTTCAAGTTTTTCCAACAGTCTTCCTTCATTTTTCTCAAGACAGATGGTTCGTCGTCAAACTTTGGTCCTTCGTCATCCTTCGCATTTTTGAGTTCGGTGTCAACGTTGGTACGAATGAAAAAGAAAGGTTTGTCGAGCTCTTTTGAAACATACTCAGCCAGTTCTTTATCATGCTGAGTGAATCGCGATTTGCAAAAAATGAGAAATGCATCGTACTTCTTTAGACCACCCTCAATCTTGCAATATTCATCAATATTAGGATATGTAGGTGTCCCAATGCCAGGTAGATCCCAGAGTTTGATGTTCCTATTTTCAGGATGAGAATATTCAGTGGGCCCTGTTTTGCTTTCGATAACATTAACTGGTGCTGCATCCTTTTGGTAAGCTTTGAGTCTACAAAATTAATACATTATGTCAAACTATTATCACACGCTGATGTAAACCATAAATTTTATTCAAACAATAACAATAAAAAAATTCGTTCATTAACAAGGTAAGACAATCAAAAAAAACTAACAAAACATTACAATTTTTAAATTTGTTAGGTTTGAAAGGAAAGCATATTTGTAAGAAGTAGTTTCCCAAAATGTAAACAAGTGTGGCTGTTTATTTTGTTGTAAAACATTTATTCTTGTTATATGGAATTATTGCGACACTGCGTTGACTTGTACCACAGTTGTTTGATATTTATTTTATTTTTAATCATAATATCTTGCAACACCAGAAGAAGTAAGCAGCTCCACACTCTTAAGATAAACACAGAAAGTATAAAAAATATTTTTATTATAAAGGTTGCATTGTATATAATTCTTTTATAATGTAAATATATAATAGCGCTATGTTGTTGAGAGGGGGGTTACATGGTTATAGATTTTATTTATTAGCTTTGTCACCATTTATTTTTAGTAGAATCATACTATAGTATTCTATTGGAGATGCTTCAATTTTTATTGGATACTCCATTCGTTAACGGTAAAGCAATAGATACGTAGTAGCGAAAAAGCATGGCAGTCGACCATGTTGCTAGTAAATACAACGTTAAGATGTCTAAAGGTAAAATAAAGAAAATTAAATTAAAATAACTAAACACGCATTTCGCAAGAGTCGTTTCTTTTTAATATAAAAATGTCAACAACAACAAATGCACAAAATAACGAACTACTAAGGAAAATTATAACAACCCTTTTCTTTATTAAAACTAAAAATGCTTTTAATAAAACAATTTGATTACTCGCTCTCAATTTCCAAAATGAGATAATTGATTCAGGTTTCGGCACTTATCAAATATTACCTCATAGAAATCTCGCGCTCGTATCGAATAGTTAAATATAACATAACAAAAAAATGACACAAAACGCATAGGAAGTTTGAATACCGAAAACCACGTCTAGCCGACATTTTTAAAAAAGATAAGAATGAACAGATTTTAAACAATAAAGATAGAGAAGAAAAAAGCAAAAGACGTAAAATTGAGTGTAAATTTTTGACTTTGGTTCAAAGCTTTCGTCAAATTTTTTTTAAATAAAGTTGAAAAGTTAACACACAAATTTACATCCTTTTTTCATTCAAATAATGAATTTCATGATGGTCACATTCTTCTGAATCCACTTTTTCTTATAATCTACTTGTTAAATATATATTTCTTTCTGCGTTTTCTTATTCAATTTTGCAGAGCCACTATAGATATCAACGTGTAGTTTGAGCTTATCCTGCTTAAATATTATTTATCTATCTCTCTGTCTATCTGCCTATCTATGTAATTAATCTGTCTTATCTATCTATCATTTGATATAGTTGTTTACCCTCTTACGGCGTTGATGAAAGATGATTTTCCTGTTCCAGTATATCCTGTTACAGCAATATTTATTTTCATGTTTCTCCATGAATCAATTTGAGTTTGGTAAAAATCGTCAACATCAATTAAACCATATTTGTTAACATGGAACTTAGCTTCTTCTAAACGTTTTTCTAGTTCAGATAATTCTCTGCTTCCGTAAATGACGCAGTTCAAAGAATATAAAAAATACTCTTTACGACGTTTGAGCAACTTCAAGATGACATTGTCGCGTAGACTGTCAAAATCATATTTTTCTGTATCATTGTTGTTAATTACGTAAACATCATTTGCATCCTTTACTAAGCCTTTCAAGTTGTCAAAGCAACATTCTCTTATTTTATCTAATGCAGTGGCTTCGGTAGACTGCGATGCAAGGGCTTCGCCCTCTTTTGCATTTGTAACATTGAGATGCGCATGCGTATGAACGCAAACGAAAGGCCTTTGGAGCTCTTTGGAAACTTTTTCAACCAGATTTATTTCATAGTTTGTGAATTTTGATTTGCTAAATATTATAAATCCGTCGTATGTCTTCAGGCCACCGATGTTATTAGTGTACGTTTCAAGATCAGGATTATTAGGAGCTCCAATGCCAGGAAGATCACAAAGTTTTATATTTTCGTATTGAGGATGAGGATATATTGTTTCCAAATCTGATTCGTCGTTTGGTGCGGCCTCTCTTTCGTCAGCTTCAATTCTGTATAAAATATTGATTTTTATGATATTTAACTGACAAACATAAACAAAGTGTCAAAGATTTGCAACACAAATTCTCCCAGCCTTGGTATCTAAAGACATCGATAGTGAAGCGAAAAGAATAAGAAATAAATTACCCTCTTATGGCGTTGATGAATGACGACTTTCCTAAATTGTTTGATCCAATTATGGCAAAATATAAGTCAAACGTCTCCCATTTAGAGACTTGTTCTTTGTAGAAACTATGTAGATCATGAACTTGATTTCTTTCAATCTCTTCCTTGGCATTTCTTAAAAGTTCTTCTTCTTCTTCTTTTAACACTGGTTTCGACGGAGATGAACCCATATTAAGCTAATGAAAAAAAGGAAAATTTAATGGTAGGATTGCAAAGAAATTTGAACACCGTAAACGTTGTTGTTGTCGCAAAGCTTTCATCAAACTGCAGGATTCCTATTAGCCTTACATTATATGGTAAATAGTTCCAGGAAGATGGTTCAATACAAAAGAACGAAAGCAATTCGTTCAGAACATCAAAAAATGTATAAGCGTTGAAAAATTATCTATCTTTTCAAAATATATTCATGTAGCGACCAAATACAAAAGATTGCGGTTTTGTAAGGTCATAAAACATGAAAACAAGTTGGATATGCTCTATTAAATTTAGCATAAAGATTCTAATACCAATGATAGAAGATTGTCCGAAGGTCAATATCACTATTTGAATTCACCTTAGCTTGATATGAACGTGAAATACACGTGCCCATATTTAAAGACAAATGAAAGAATGGAGTCAGGCTGGTAATTAAATTACATTCCAGAATTTCCATCAAAATATCATCATTTCTATCTGTATTTCATTATTAAATTTCAACAGCACATTTAATATACTTGATAAATATATTTAATTATTTGCTTTCCGCAACATAAAAATTTCTGAAAGTAAATTAAAAAATTCTTATTAACAACTTATCTATGGGAAATAACAAATCTGTCTTACTATTTATAACATTGTAATAATATTACTACAATTAAAATATAACATAGCATAGCTTTTGCAAAATTTCTTGAAAGTACCAAAAGAAGTGTGTTACGTTTAGTGCATCACATTTGAATCAGAAATGAAAGAAAGTAAATTCATTTGGTGTTTTCGTTGGTCCCAAAATCATTATTTTTCTTAAGAGCTTTAAATAGACAAGTCGGTTCTTTGAGCCAATCGTTTTTGAGCTTTATGTACTTGGAATTTTCTAGGTTATAATTGTTGTGAAAAACATATCTTGCAATTATTTCTATGAGTGCTATACTCTTCACTAATTCTTCAATCCTATTTATCTTCTGTGTGGTTAATGCGTAAATCGAAACATTCATTGCAGCCTTTATTTAAATTGAAGAATCGACAAGATATTGTAAAAGTTTATTAAATTCCTCATAAAATTTCACAATGCCGTGAGCATTGATGTCTATTGTTAACAATGAATACAACATCATCACTATAAAATTTGGTAACCAGCTTCATTAAACTGGATAAGAGTGTATAAAACTTTCCTATCCATGTGCTTCACGTGCTTCATTATTCACAACAAAATTGACCTTTGGACAGTCCATGATTATTCAAAACAGTACAGTTTGTCTTATTTTAAACTTTTACCCAAATTTGTTTCTTTTGATGAACTGCAAAGTCCAAAAACTAAGAGTTCATGCAACTAGTGAGGATAATAACCGGTTTTGAATTTTACATACTTTAAATCAAAGTTACAAATAATGTTTCATTTTCTTTTCTTTTCTGAACCATTCCAGGAACTAATTATCATAAATATGCTTTCAGACGAAACCCCACTGTTCTGTCAGTTTACAAGCTTGAAAATCGGTTTCATAATCGCCAATGCATCGTCTAAAATTTCGTTTTATACGTTGTATTGTTAAATAATGGGCTCATTTAATTGTAAAATTGGCTCAAATGTTGGACTCAATAAAAAGGAGGAGAATCTTATACAAGAGGCACAGAAATATCTAACGAATAATGGACTGGATTGGTCATTCTACAAAGACCAAGTCAATAAATGGAAGAAGTCCGAGCTAAACATTGCCTTAGCCGGATCAAATCAATCGGAAAAAGCCTCTTTCATAAAGTCTATCATTGGGTAATTTACAATTGTCTTAAAATATAATTTTATAACTTAATTTTGCCGGCAGTTCATTCGAAGACGTCTCATTTTGCAGGGAGTTTTTACGTCTTTTCTTAAGTTATAACATTTGTTTTCTGTATTGCTTATGCAGTCCCTGTAATACGATGGAAAATGTATTTGTTAAAAATATTTGGTTTCTGACACACTGATGATGTTGTTTTTACTGTACAATTTGCATACTCGTTTGGAATAATGCAGAATTTAAAATTCAAGACTTAAGCAAGTGCTCTAATCAGGTTATCGTATTGATTTTAAATATTTCATTTTTCGATTACGTGTCACACATTCAATGACTTTGAACAAAGACACTTAGAGGGAGACAAGAGCATTTTATATCACGCTTTAAAGTCAAGTTGCCTTCCGCATATATTGCCCTCAGCCAAAACAGTCTCTCTCAGGGGTGCTGTTTCTGTAACAAGAAGTTTTTAAGATTTAAATAAGATGGCTTAGTTAAGAGTTTGTTACAGAAGGAGTAAGTTTAAAGAAACATAAACAATAAGTCTAACAACATCAACTCTTGTTAACAATAGCTGAGAAAACCTAATTATTCATAACATTTAATGTTCACTCTGCTTCAGACTTAAAGCTCATAAAGATGGCAATGAGGAACCAACTGATTATTCCTGTCCTAAAAGTGAAAACATCATGCTATGGGATCTGCCTGTCTTTGAAACAATTGAAGCACCTGAAGACTCATATATTGAAACCTACTGCAAAAACATTGGTGGTCTAGAGAAGTATGACACTTATTTAATTTTTTGCACAGCAAACTTCACAAACTGTGAGAGAGAACTAGTTGATGTTTTAAAAAAATCAAGCAAGCCTTTCGATTTCATTTGCACCTACAATGATGCTGATGTCCAGAATGCCAAGAAAGATGAAGATGAACGTCATGATGATGAATCTGACATTGAATTAAGAGTAAGAAAATACTGCTTGAAAAAGTTGAAAAATGTAATGACGGATAAGACAGAGTTGCATCTGATCGACACGAAAGAAAAAAATGACTTTCGTCGTGAGCATGATGATGTTTTCAAAAAGTTTCTGGAACGTCGGCAAAAGTTATTTCTACGTTATTTCAATGACGAATTTCACAAAAATAGCAGATACAGTAAAGTAAATGCAACTAAAAATGAAGGTGATCCAGATGAGATTTACGAAGATTTAATTCAGTCATGGAAAAACGTGCAGATACATCTAGCAATAACTGGAGATTCGGGAACAGGAAAATCATCTTTTATCAACGCCGTGAGAGGGTAATGAACTTTCTTTTTTTAAATGATATAACAAAACAATGCTTTTAAAAAAACCTTTTACTTAATTAAGTTTTTAAAAATAAAAAGATGCAAAGAGAATATTTTATAAAACAAATAAGTCCAAACTTTTACGTGTAAAAATTTAAACTTTACCAATGCGCATAATGAATAAGTTAGCGAAGAAAGATTAAATAAAAAAAATACAAATATTCTTTTCTTCAGAATTAAAGCTTATGAAGAAGGTGCAGCAGAAGTTGGTGTTACAGAAATGACAAGCAAGGTCACTAAGTATTCACACCCAGATAATGACAACATCGCTTTCTGGGATCTACCTGGTATTGGAACACCTACATATCCCAATCTTAAAGATTACTGTAGAAAAGTTGGTGGTTTAGAGAAGTACGACGCATTTCTTATTTTTTGCAAGACACGATTCACTAACCATGACAAAGAGTTGGCAGAGAAAGTTTCGTCTGAACTCAAAAAGCCTTTCTTTTTTATTCGCACGAACGTCGATTACGATGTCAAGAACGCCAAAGAAGACGAAGGAGGAAATTTTGATGAAGAATCTGTCTTGGAAATAATGAGGAAAGATTGTTTGCAAAACCTGAAAGGTTTGATCGACGATAAGAATGATATCTACATGATTGACAACAAGGCACCAGATAAATATGATTTTCAGTGTTTGAAAGAATCAATCGCCGAGGCCTTACCAGATGAAAAGAAGAAACATTTTGCTGATTCCTTGGCCATTGCAACACATGCTATCATAAAATTACAGGCTAACTTGCTGAGAGGTATGTCATTGATTGATATTATCCTATAGGAGTTGTTCATCAGTTTTTTATTGAGTATTTCAATCCATTTTATTTTCAAGAGGAATCTGCATGGGTAATATAAATTAAGAGACGGTAATACATAATATGAATATTACAGGATTTATAAGCAAACGTTGAATTTAGTGTTATATTGCTCTTACATCAAACACGTTTTTGGGATAATTTGTTTAACAAAAATATGATAGCCCAAAATATATTTTGATAGACCTATCATGATTTTTTTAGTTGGTAAAATTTCGTTTTTAACTGTAGACATCTTCATAAGATAGTAATGATATAATGTATGAATAAAGCCATTTGCGAATTTTATGTAGGGCTATCATATATTGAAATTTGTTTTCTGCTTGGCAGATCTACGGCCATGATTTCAAATTTGTTAAATTTATAAATTTTAGAACAAGCACTTGTGGTTACACATTGTTTATCGTTTGCTATGTCTTCACAAGAAACGACTCTACAATGGCTTATATTCCCAGTTCTTTGGCTGTTCACGTTTTTAAGAGACAAAGTGGTTACACATTGTTTATCATTAGCTACGTCTTCACAAGAAACGACTCTACAATGGCTTATATCCCCAGTTCTTCGGCTGTTCACGTTTATGAAAGACAAAGTGATCTCAAGCAATTCAAATCCGACTTCATCTGCAAAGCTCGCATCTCAGCTTATCTCAAATAAATTAATTCCTCGATTGTATGATGCATTGGATGTGCCAAAAGCAAAATCCGATGAAATCATGAATAAGCTTTTAGACGAGGAGTTCTTTAAAAGTGTGGAAGAGTTACCACTGGAAGTTACAGTTTATTTCCTTATAAAGTACATTGATGGTCTTGAAAAATATGCTATAGAACAATGTTAGAGACAATTCACAATAACGCTCGAGCTTTAAAAATCATGACAGATTTTCCTTTTGCATGAGACTGTTTACAAGTTTCTGTGAAATTTAAAGGCACCATAACCATAAAGGGACCTAAATTCTTAACCAAGTTTGTATTGATTAATTCGTAACTTATTTCTTTTATCTTAATAAAAACTTAGCCGTTGTGCAGTAGCTTGTACGAAATGTTAAGTATTTACTTGGTGTAGCTACATACATTTAAAACTGTGAAAAAAACTTCACAAGCATTTATGAACAGCAATTTTTGAAACAAGCAATCAACTTTAGTTCTTTTACTCTCAAATACTAGAGTTTACTTCATATCAACTTTGCTCAAACGCAAATTCAATAAAAAATATATATAAATTGAGGAGTTTTCTACCTATGATTGAAATATCAAGAAAAAAACTAAATCGACATGCTCCCTCTTTATGCAGCACTATTTTTGTGTTCACAATCCCAAGATTTAAAATCGTGCTTATTTTACTGCAATTTACAGCTAAAATGCCTAAAAATAAACGAAAAAATATTTATATTAATGTCTAGAATACAGTCATAGAAAGTTGTCAACTGAGAGAGATACAACAATAAAATACTTTTACTGTTTTTTATTTCTGCTGATTTTGCTTCGTGAGATTGAGCTGAACAATGGTTAGCCATTTTTTATTGCTATTTTACTCATTATACACAACATGGCAGTAATTCATATTTAAGTGAGCAAAGTTACATCCAGTCATTTCACGATAAGTTGGTAACGCGCATGCATCAAATACATTTTTAAACCGAACGTACTAAAATTCAAAATTCCAAAATTCAGACAGTTCACATCAAATGCAGCAAAACGAATGCCTTTTCAAAATATTGAAAAATAACGACATCCTTTAATGGCATATTTTGTCCCAATGGCAAATATTTTGTCTCTAAGTGATTCATCAAAAAGTCAGGAAATGGATAAAAATTCTTCCGGATAAAAATTCGCATCTTGGATGCGTCATTTTATCAGCTTTTTTTTAAAGGTCAAAAAATTTCCAAAAAATTAAATGTGCTACCTTTAAATCAAAACTTTTGGAAAACGTTTTCTGCCGTTGACCAGGGGCGGATCTAGGGGTAGGCACCATAGGCAAGTGCCTATGGTGAAATTACCAAAATATACTTCGACTTAGATTCGATACGAATTTATCGAATTATGAAACTATGAATAACACTTTATCGCAGTCAAATCATCTGACTTTTGTTTAGAAATGTTGTGCAATTAAATGACGTAATTTTGATATGAATCGTAGTCCAGATGCGTATGATTATCTATAAAGCTCCGTGTCGTTAGGCAAAGCAGCCATTTTTCCTAAGTAAAGAAGGCGATCTAGCCATTTGATTGGTTGTTAGCAATTTGCCTAAACAAGATGAATTTGCCTAACTTGACATCGTGTATAAGTATTCTGATTGGGCAATTTTTTGCAACCGTATGCTTTCATTGGTCAATTTTTTTTGCCTAACTTGAGCAATTCCAACCAATCATTGCTGTTGATAAGCATAGTTGAGCTAGGCAAATTAGGCAATTGAAAATTAACATACACTCGTATTGTTTCTGAACAGCCTCTGTGCTCAGTTTACGGTTTTGTGATATTTTGTAATGTCTTCATTGTGTTGTGGTAATTTATACGAGACTGCTCAGTCTGCGTTGGCCAAAACGATTTAAAATGCCTTAATGAGCTTTATTCTCGTTTATTGGTCGACGTTCGACCTATGTTTACTAACGAGCAGCTGTTAGATAGAATTTATGACCCCGACCATACTCTGTGTCGAAATTTTGAGCTGAAATATATGTGCCAAAGCACGCTCATGACGGAAAGACTTGTACTGCAATAAGGTAAATATATTATAATTATATATATCGTATTGTAGTATTTATATATACGTGTAAAATGGTTAAATCTCAATTTCGCTAGGCTATATCTTTGTCTACAGTCAGCAATTCATTCATACAATGCAATCAATCTACCAAACAAAATATTAATTTCTTTTCTTGAATATTTTTAAGATCTGAAGCTTCTGGCAATTGCCTCTACAGTTCAGCTTCCTAGTTCTGGTAGGTAACAATGCATTGGTCCCTACTTTGCGAATTTTAACATCGCTTGAGCTATTTATTCATGCTGCTTTTATGCTCAACACCCATGCTTTTTGTCTGTTATAAGTGAGCACAGTGATTACTTTGCCCAAAGCTTAAACAATCTTTTGCCTTTGTCAGTGTCTAAAGAATGTTTAGACACTGGATATACAACAGATGAACTGGTAAAACAGGAGGCTATTTTAAATTGTAATGACCAGAAATGGTCATCTTTTCTTTGTATTTTGGGCCTATCTTCTGTTTTAGGTAGAAAAATTCATACTTTTATCCTGATTCTGGTGAAAGTAGATATAAATTGTTATTTAATCGTATTGTTCAGCCCCGGTTATTAAGCCAAAGAGGTTTGGATGCTATTAATATTTTGTTTTGTCATGAAGGATCTGTACAACCAGGTGAGACTTTTCAGTCTAATCATTTTGTGCCTCTCATTTTCCATGCCCACAGGTTGAAGCGAAAATTGTCTAATTCCTGTACACAGTCTAATTCTAGCAGCTCAACAACAGAGAAACGAAAATTTGTCAAAATTTTTCCAAATATTGCACCAAAAAACAGTTGACATTTCAAATTTTTTTTACTTCAACTAATAGGCCTGCTGCCCAACCAACTTTTAAAAGGATGCCCAATGAGAGTTTTTCTTCTGCTGCAGCTCTTGCTCAGACATTAAATAAAGCCAATAGTCTTTTGCTTCACACATCATCCCAGGAACTATTGCCTGGTATTCCAACTTCTGGTGATATGCAACCTGCTGTTTTAACCCATAATTTTGATGTTTCCTTGTATAGGGAGAAAGTTAAGGGTATGGATAATTCTGAAATATGTCATTTGATAAAAAATGTATATAAACCAGATAAAAAGTATCATTTTCCTAAATCTAATGGCAGATCATTTAGGCATGATTGGCTAGACCAGCATGAATGGCTTTGCTATTCACCTTCACAAAATGGTGCGTATTGTCTATCGTGTGTTGTTTGGCAATAGATTCCCAGGCAAGGCCAGTAAAGTAAAAAGTTGTTTACTGAACCTCTTCAAGATTGGAAGAATGCTAAATGCTCTTTCACTCAACATGCTGGAAAAGTAAAGGAGGGAAGTCGGTTTGCATGCATCCACATCACCAATTTTGATGCTTTGCGTTCCCAAATATCAGGTACTCTGCAGCCTATCGAGATGATCATGGATGCTGGTATCAAGAAAGAAATAGAACAGAATAGGGAAATACTATCTCCAATTATTGATTCTGTCATTTTTTGTGGACGTCTAGGTTTACCTCTTCGTGGGCATCGTGATGATTCCAAGTATCACCCTACTGTTGGTTGTTATTCATCTGAGGGGTTGGTAATTTCATTGAAACACTCAATTATGGAGTTAGGAGAGGGGATAAAGTTTTAGAAAATCATTTAAAGAATTGTGGTAAGAATAGAAGTTATATTTCTAAAACAAGTCAAAATAAAATCATTAAATGTTGTGGCCAGGTAATCAGTAATCAGATTATTTCTGATATCAAAAAGTAAGTTTTTTCTGTTATTGCTGATGAAGCATCTGATTCTTCACATAAAGAACAAATGTCTCTTGTTTTGCGCTTTGTTGATACCGATATGAATATCAGGGAAGAATTCATTTCATTTCTTTTTGTAAGTGGGGACTAAGTGGTGCTCAACTTGCCAAGCTACTTTTAGAGGCTCTAAAGGAACTGACTTTATCAATAGATGATTGTAGGGGGCAAGGTTATGATGGGGCTGGTTCAGTTGCTGGTTGCACTAATGGTCTAGCAGCTCAAATTTTAAAGCTTAACCCAAAGGCTCTTTATACACACTGCTATAGTCATAGGTTAAACTTATCCATTTGCGATTCTTTGAGTATACGTGTTGTCAATGATATGTTGAAACATGTTAACAATGCCACTAATTTTATTAAAATTTCCCAAACTCGCAATATTCCCTTTGAAAACATATACGTAATTCAGAAACAAACTCGAAAAAGACTAGATTAACAGACGTTTGCAAAACTAGATGGGTAGAACGTATCGAAGGTTTAGATACATTCCAAGAGCTTTTGTACCTGTATACACCACCCTTAACGATATGTCTGAAAATCTAGATGGTGAGTTCAAACCGTCGCTTCAGTCTGATGCCTCATCTTTGTTTCAACTTATTGACAGGTTTGATTTCGTCGTTGCTTTAGTTATCACGAGAAATATTCTTGATTCAACTCTTCCAGTAACACAGTTATTACAGGGTAAGAGTATCGATATAATGGATGGTATTCATTTAATTTCAACTTTGAAAACTGAGGTGGTGAACATGAGGAATTCCTCTGATTTTTATCATGACACCTGGTATGACGAAGCGCTTGAACTGGCAGCAAAAGTTGGCATTGAAGAATGGAAACCAAGAACAGTGCGCAAACAAACGACCAGGAAAATATTCCCACACAACCATTTCTGAGTATTATAAACGTGCAATTACTCTTCCTCTACTAGATCATTTGCAATCTTCTTTAGAATCACGATTCGACCTTGAGAGTGTGAATGTCTATAAAGGCCTTAGCATTGTACCGACGAAAATGATGTCCATGACAAGAGATGGGGTGGATTGGAAAGAGCCATTCAAAACTGTGGCTAACTTTTATTATGATGATTTGCCAAATCCTTTGGCCTTAGATGCTGAACTTAGGTTGTGGTACACTTATTGGGAGACCCACTGCGGCCTCCTTCCTGATAACATTGCCCAGACTTTAAAATCTGTTCATTTCGCCGGATTTGAAAACATTAAAATTTTACTACGTATTTTAGGAACGCTCCCCATTACCTCTTGTGAATGTGAACGATCTATTTCTTCCCTTAGGACACTTAAAAACTATCAGCGAAGTACCATGGTTGGGGAACGCTTAAATGGTTTGGCCTTGATGCAAATTCATCAGGAAATTGTACCAGATATTGGTGAGGTTATTAATACTTTTGCTGTTGGAAATACAAGGCTAAAATTTGCATGAATTTATTCATATCCTAGTTTTTTATTTTGTTGAAATGTCCATATGTTAACCATTTATTGTGCGTTGTACACAATAGTAACGTCAATAGAATTTGCATCAAACTAATAGCTCGCCCGATAAAGGTTTTTTTCCTATATACATTCCAATCTTAAAACTGCTGAGTACGTGTATGGTACTCGGCCGTTGTCGACATAAATTTACTTTCACAAAATTGTTAAGCATAAATAGAATAATTTTTCCTTACACCAAATTTTAGTCTTCACAAAGACTCTTTATACAAAGCTCTATTTTGACTATTACATTACATTTACATTCTGCTCATTTGTTGGCAAATGAGAGTGCACATTTTAGGTGGGGGGTAAAGGGTTGGAATTGACTGGGATGGTGTAAGAAACTGAGCAATCTTACATCCATGAAATGTCCCACATAGTCACCCATTTCTAACCAAACTCCTTTTGCTATTTGCTAAAGGTGTGAAAGGCGAGTTTCTGGCGCCTTCAAAACCAGAGTGCTCATTTTAGGTGGGGGTAAAGGGTTGGAATTGACTGGGATGGTGTGAAAAATTGAGCAATATCACATCCATGAAATATCCCATATAGTCACCCATTTCTAACCAAACTCCTTTTCAAAGGTGTGTAGGCGAACTTCTGGCGCCATAACCAGTCTGCTTAATTCGGCTCTCACAGGGCTGTCCATGCCGGATCACGATTTTTTGTTTTGCGTTAAAGTGTTCCTAGGCATGCTGATGAGCCCTGATATGGGGCGAAACAGTCTTGTGTGCATTCAATATTCTGAATAGTGAAAATCAACGACCTTGTGATATGTAAGTATAAATATACAATGTTTTTATGTATTTATACGATTGAGATCTACAAGATTCTGCATAGCTGAATGATTAGACTGTTTGATTTAAACAATTTATCGAAAGCATAAATAGTGTAGTATGTTTTGCAAAGTATGACGTCATAGGTTTAGCACTGAATGACGTCATAATGTTTTGCCTATGGTATCCAAAATCCTAGATCCGCCCCTACCGTTGACGGTTGTGAATATTTTGGCGTTTTCCTTGTACGCAAAATAATTATTTTAACTCAACTTCTTAAAATAGAAGCAAGTACTTGGCACTTTAAAGATTCAATCTATAACCTAAACTAATGTACACAAAGAAAAACCAGTCTCTCGTCTGCTTCATGTACTTGCATTTAGCCATCTTTAGCAAGTTATCTAAAACAAGAGATTTCCAAAACATCGCCTTAAAAAGAGCAATTGCCATGGTGATTGGTCTGAAACCAAAGAAAAACCAAGAAACCCAAGAGTAAACCAATAGTTTTGAAAAAAACGTTTTCAGAATAAGAGCACTAACCTGAAAGTTCTGAAAATTTTAAAGATTTAAGACACTATGCATTTCGACAGACAACTCGTCATGTGTCAAAGTCTACGATCTGTTAAGGGTAAATCAACTTTTATTTATGTCAGTTATTTGATGATTCATCCAGCGTGGGAGGTCTAGTCATCATCAAAATAAAGCCAATTCGACTCATCCTCCAACGCTGGATTGCTCTTTTTAAAGTGATATTCACACTTGTCACCACGAAAATGTCTCAGTTTCAAGTGATTTCCTATAACTACAATAGACTTTCTTTTCAAACAGTAATATTGCATATTTGCATCTGGAACTATTAAAGATTTTATGATTTGTAAAATTAGAGAATTTGAGGTCAATTCGCTTATTTAAATATTTGTAACATGCATTCATTCTTGTTAATATTAAAAAATATTCTTTTATGCAAGGTACGAATATTTTTATGGCATTCATATTATATAGATATATGTAGCATAACAATGAAATAAAACATGAAATTAAGATATGTAAATATCACAAAAACTTTTATGCAAGGTTCTGTTGGAAAAAACCAAATAACATTGCATAAAATAAGGTTGTTTGTTCAAAAAATTAATCATCCAATTTAAACAATATCCCAGGTGGTAACGTTATGTACAATTTAACTGTTGTTAATCGTGCGTCAAGCCAAGTTCTTCCAAAAAATCATCTCATTTAAAAGTGAACTGTGTGATTTACGGAAACAAACAAGCATTTTAAAGACATCATTGTGCGTACTTTATTCCATAGTTGTAAACGAGATGTTTATATTTTTTCATAATATTATATCTCATTTCATCATTATATTTCTGCAACTTAAGATAAAAGCGGTTTATATATATGGCCTTGATGGCAAAATACGTGCATTTCTGCTGCTGCGTAACTAAAAGAAGAGAATTACAATTGGAAACCAATAGGTACACGAGAAAGATTTATCGTGTGCTAGTTATCAACGTGCTCGCAACGCGTACCTAAGTGAAACGAGTGTTAAAAATAACATTACCCAATTATATTATAAGCTTATAATATTACCCAATTATAATATTATAAATAATATTATAAGCTATTTCAAACAATTCTAAATTAGAATTGACTTTTTTAACAAAATCACCTGCTGTAGCTATTTTTTGTACCATCAAGTATAAAATAAAATGTTGTTGTTTTAGGATAAATAAAAATTTAGGCAAACAAGCACCGTGCGTTCTGGTCATTTACTGCAACTTTTAACTGTTGCATCGCAAATGTCAAGAGCAACTTTTTCCATATCATTAATCTAGTTTGAAAGAAAATTATGAACGTTAAAATACGATAACGAGGCTGACAACATCGGAAATTCTTGTTCAAAAGTGTTCACATCCCAAGTATTTTCAGATAAGAAAGCAGATGATTCTTCGTCTAACACCTTAAATTTGTCGGTTACTGTACCAGGAAGACCAAATTTGTTCTCGTAGTAAGTCATTTCTTCTAAAACCGAAGTTATGTTGAAACCACTTACAACTCCATGAAGAGGAACAATGCTCGCACAAGCTGCAACACCAGTCATTACAATTGCTCGAACTAGAAATGTTATAAGAAATGCTTGTACAAGATGGAATTAAGGAAATCTGCTAAGAATCTTCTAGCTTAAAGAATGTGTGTCAACCAAGATGCCTTGCGCTCTTTTGTTCATGTTTACATCGTTACTTTTTAAGCTTGCGGCACACTGAATGCAATTTCGTCACTATACATCGTTTAATTTATTCAAAATGTTAGCAAAAAAACATTGACTAAAAACTCTATTTAACATTAATCATTATCGTTTATCTAAGTTGCATGGACTACAATAACGAAATCCAT